CACGACAATGTCTTAGAAAGTAGTGAAAGTAGCTCATTTTGAGGAACAAATTAACTTTGAAAATAGCTCATTTTGAGGAACAAACTATCCTTTTTGCTTGGAAATAGCTCTTACTTCTTTTACTTCAGCCATTTTGAAGTTACTGTTAGAACTGAGATGCAAGCCTAAGGAGAGGGGGTGAATAAGGTTGCCACCGTTTTTCGCTAAAAACATAGAATATACAGCAAAATAAAATAAAATCGATCAACAATGATCAGACACAAATAGCAACCAACTAGGAACACACAGGATTTTACAATGGTTCAGATAACAATCTTACGTCCGCTCTCCTTTCTTATGAATGAACTTCCTCACTCTTTAAAATAGTTCTCCTGAATCACAAAGCCAATTTAGTAAGCTTACAAGACTGCGCCTTGGAGTCTACCAAAAACCAGTCGTCTAACCTAACTTTTTACAATGAGAAAACACCTAATTCTAGCTAGTCCCAATCCCCAATTCCAACCGGCTTGAGTACGCCATAAAAATAAGTTCAAGATAAAACCAAACAACCATGGTTAAAACTCGGAAAATATAAAACAAACCATCATTTGATGAATAAGTGTAGCTCGATGAAGAAACGGTGTAGATGATGAATCCAATGGCAACTCTTCTAGCTAAAACAATCCAGAGATATCGTGCGTGATGAGTGAGATCTTTACGAGGCTCCAGGGATCAAAAAATCCTTGTATGTAACCTCTCACAAATCCAAACTCTAGAAGTTTGCCTTCTCTCTCTGTCTTTCAATGATGTAAAGTCCACAATAGGTCTGAAAAGAGATATCCTAAACGTGATAAAGATTGGAGAAAAAAGAAATGACAAACGGTTTTGCAACTAAAATCTGAAAATCTACAATAAGTCGATCGAGTTTACCATAATTAATAGAAGTGAAAGTTACATGACGATGTACCTTACCTAATACCACACCTACTAACTAGACTTCTTCTTTCTCCTAACTACGATCTCTTTCATAGGGAACACGGAGCAGTTTGTTAGCGTATACTATCCTTTCATATATGTGGAACGCCGGTCCCAGCGTTTACCACTGTATTTTGTGAGTGCGATTGGAGGACGACTGCCTTTGTGTGCCACATCCAGTGAGTCTTGAGTTGCCGACCATACACTTTGCAGTGATGCAGGTGCGGTGCTCTGTGTGGCTCTACGATAAACGACTGCGTCAACTATGTGCTTGATTGCCGGATCTGATGTATAGCTAGCTACAACGTGTGTGGTAACCAATGATTTAGTTATCAATTGTATGTTTTAAGGGTTAATTGCTGACACATATCCTGTAATATAGAGAGGTAGCGATTGATTATCCCCGCGATATTTTATTAGAACGTATGTTGACGCGACAAAAATGCACGAAGAAAAACCTTCAAAGTTCAATATCTGGATTCCCATTTGCCATGTCGTGTGCTTCGTAAGTGCTTTCTAGAGACACCTGGATCACCTCGATCAGACATCAAAATTGAAAATTGTAGTTTTTTGAAGTTTAGGTGCACAAATGAGCCTCCCAATCCTGATCCGCACCACTCTAATATGCATCAGTGTATCCCCTAACTGAATTATTTTGTAACTTTTTTACAGGACTTATCTGCTACAAATGTATGTCTTCAGCTTCCTAGTCCACTTTCTTGCACTTGTCATTTCGCTCTTACTTTCTTGTACTTGATCCCCAACCCCCAAAACAACCCCCCTCCCCCAAAACTTTTCTTGCCTTCTATTACCTCGTGTGATCGAAGAAAGGGTGGGAGAGAAAGAGAGAGTGTGCGCGGGCGTGCACGCAGGCGTGTTCACAGATAAACCTCCTAAGGGCAAAAAGGTCATGTGTATATATATGCTAATTAAATAGTCCGGAGCTAAAAAATGGCAAAATCCTAATACGAGGGTGTATGTCAAATAACCCTATGTCTAATTTATGATATAGTTGGCAACATGTAGAATGAAGAACAGGCTATAAAGTTTTCCCCCCTGATTACTAGCAAACGAAGTTAGATAATTTCTTAACTATAATGTGACGCATTGTCATTACAAGGGGAGTAAGTGCCTCAATGGACCATGCCAAAAGGGAACAACCCATAAAATAACACTTCAATAGGAATGACCCCTCCAATCTTGCAAAGCTTAGACTTCCATTGTTTTTCTATTAAGTTCATGCTTGCAATCATAGATCAACACCATCACAATCATTGTTTTCCAAACTTATTTGCAAAGAACAACCTCAACACCATTACTATAGGTTAACTACTTATGATTCATCATATATTTTTTAAATTCCTCCAGGTGCTCTTCCTCCACACACTGCGCAATAAACCTCGCTCCCTTCATTGGCGCCGGGGGTGATCCCAAGATGCAGACTGGAATCAAGTCAGAGTACGTCAACGGCACCACCTGTATTGGCGTTCCCCATCCATAATCGATCTCCTTGAAACCCAGTCGACTCCACTCCGAGACAAATAGTGTGGTGTAACCCAGCGAAGGGACATACGGATCCTCGCCTTCTCCTGCTGCCCACCGAGCAAACTCCACTGGCAGCTTTGCTTTTGCTTTTTTGATCAATTTGACAACCTCAACAATCGAAGCAGATACAAGCTTCTCACTTGTGATTGTAACTGTAACAGGAAAGAAACAATTGCCATAGAAACCTACAGGCAGTGCCGGATGCACGAGCGGTCGTGCATTGGCAAAGAAAACGAGCTTGACTTGCACATCTGGATCCAAATTTATGGCCCGTGTTCTACGTTGCCAGACTCTAGCAACTAGAGTATCAAACACGGAGCATCTTTCGCCCGTGAGCTCGAAGAATTGGCTTTTGAAGCAACTGATATCGTCCAGGGAGACATCAATAATGGCCTGTTCTAGCTTGTAGCTTGGCATTAGGAATGGAGGAGAAGCATCAAATGGGACGTATGCAACTCCTGGTGGTTTCGGAATAGCTTCACGATACCAGACAGGCTCAACCGTGGGGGCTTTTAGCCCTCGAGAAAACTCTGCGACACAGTTCAAGAACTGAGCAGACCCAAGACCATCGAAGACAGCGTGAGAGCTCTCAAGTCCAATCACAAATCCTCCACATGTAAACTGTGTCACTTGCATTAGGACAAGCACATCAGAGGGACCAATTTCAGGTTGAGGATCAGGAAGAAGCTGGTCATGCATTGGCACAAGAGGATGGCTGAGGTAATTGATGTCTTCGAGCCTACAACTGGCAGTTGCATCGATGAACCATGCACCCTGAGCATTACACTCAATCTGGAGATTGCCGTCGCTAGACCTGACAAGTCGACCGGCTAATGGATAGTAATACGCCAATGCCTTCGATAGTGCCTCTCTTATGGCCTTAGCAGGTGTCAACCCAGACCCAGAACCGGACCCAAACACATGGTAGGTTCGGACTTTGGCATTCAGACCTGGAAGACGATCAATTGTGGACAGGTCAAGGGTTAATGACGGAGTTGGGCTCGCTGGGCAAACCATGGACTGGGAGGACTTGGTCACAATGAAATCCATGGCAGAAGAGGATGGAGGTTAGGGGAAATGATCCACAATATGGAGAATTATATAGAGTTTGTGCGTTATTGGTGGGTTCAACAAGACTTGGCTTTGAAGGCCACATTCCGATTATTTTTCTATTTAATGGGAAATCCTTAGGATGTGAGCAAAGTCAAGAGTATCTGAAAAAGATACTAGCAAAAAAAGAAAAAGAGTGCGCAAGGGCTTTTTGGTATCTAGAACCTGTAGGCATCACATATCATATAGTGGACAACAGGCTTTCAGATATGCCACTACAAGAGTTGTCACATTTGGTGCTATGGCAAAGAAATTTTCCTTCAGATGTACTTCACTTCATGTGTTCCTCCATAATCAGGCATCGATAATGAGCTTTCCTTTAACGCTAAAACGAAATAACACAGAATATTTGGCAAAAAATTTCCAAAAGCAACGACCACTATGACACAGTAACACCATTGCTGAGTCCCCCTTGCCTATACATAACTCATACCATGTGAATAATTAGGAACATTTAAACATTTACTCTTAATTTTAACCCATCAATTTTTAATGTATATCTACACTTCTTCAGGCAGATTTTTTCCCACTGCCTCACAAACTCAATACAACTGCTCAGTTCTGACAGTCATCCATTTACATTCATGCCCTCATTCACCGATGGAACTTTGTACAAAAATGCATCAACTTGTTACATTGTAATCCATAATGAATATAGATCTGGTCCTTTACTTTCTGAATTTCTGTTCATGCTCATACTAACAAGTAACAGTATTCTTTCACTTTGCCTTGAGCGTTCCTTTCAAGTACCCAATATTGCCAACCAAGGTGACATCACTAGAAAATTCAGAGTAGAAGGTTTGGTACGTACCAACTTCCGAGATAGCAAAGAATCGACCAGAATTAAAATGGATTTCCAGCCTCTTGGCTGAGCTTTGTTCCTTCAACGTCCTTTTTTTTCTCCGTATTAAGTAACCGAATATATTTACTATCCATGCAATTTCTACACGTAGAACTTGTACTTTGAATATACAGTAATCAGCACATGGAGAAGGCTTTGACCAGTACCTTCCCATTTTTATGGTCATCTGCTGCTGCTATGCCATAGATCTTGGAGAGTTATCTTCCCAGTATTACAAATGTCGAGCTTGTTAAATTGGTTGCAGATTTGTAGGATGTCTTTCTCCCCAATCTTTCCCATCTCCTTGAGCTTGTAGATCACAAACTCTGATTTACTGAAAACAGTTTGAAGCAACATACTAAAACTCAGCTTCTTGTTAAGAGAGCACACATCAAAAATATCACATACATAACATTTGCTCCAGAAAAGGTACAAATCCAGAAAAGGTACGAAAAGGATGTTTGACAACATACAACTTGGTAAAAAGTTACTTGGGCAAGATTAAATTAGTAAATCTATATCCTTGATCACATTACGGGTCTACATAATAAATGGAACTTCAGAAGCTGTGAACAAGTATTGAGGTATATGCAAAATGTGCAACTAAAAGCTGAAAATCGACTAGAGTTGTGAAGTTGGTGATATATGCCATGGCAGCAAAACAACATTAGATAACTTGTTAAAAAAATTGGACTTGAATTGACCAACCACAATGTCAACCTGGCTTGGCATCATAATCCTTCAGATTTTTTTCTTTCTTCCATATGCACAATAAAACTCAGCTACTTGTTAAGAGAGTACACATCAAAGATATCACATACATAATATTTGCTCCAGAAAAGGTACAAATCCAGAGAAGGTACGGAAATGATGTATGACAACATACAACTTGGTAAAAGTAATACTTGGGCAAGATTAAATCAGTAAATCTATATCCTTGATCACATTACGGGTCTACATAATAAATGGAACTTCAGAAGCTGAGAACAAGTATTGAGGTATATGCAAAATGTGTAACTAAAAGCTGAAATTTTGACTAGAGTTGCGAAGTTGATGATATATGCATGGCAGCAAAACAACATTAGATAACTTGTTAAAAAAAATTGGACTTGAATTGACCAACCACGGCCTCAACCTGGCTTGGCATCGTAATCCTTCAGATTTTTTTCTTTCTTCCATATGCACAATAAACCTAACACCCCGCTATTATACGACATCATTGACTAATAATTGATATATGATAGTTGTTAGCGATATATATTCCTATGCTTAACACATCAGTAATGTATTATTATGGTACATAATATATTTACCAACCCAAAAAAAGAGTAGCGGTGGGACCACCTATCACTATCATTGATTATCTAATTGATGGTTAAGAATTTGTTTTTAAGTGCAAATTAGATATCGGTGCAATTCATGGAAGTATGGTGAGTGCTAGATTAAGAATAAATCATAATCACTCGCTAGATAATCGACAGATGTGATCTAAAGTAGTGGTCATCACTACTGAGAAGGTCCAAATTCATAGAAAAATAGTGGGGCACATCAATAATATTTGATATAGTTAGAAAAATGAACAAAAGGGAGGACAAATAAAGAAAAGTCTAAACTCTATATAAAACATCACAACTAAATTGAAGGAGACATAGTTCTTGTCTCAACTAGTGGCAATGAATCAAGCTTTTGTTGCGAGTCAAGACAAGGACTGAGTGATAAACATGGGGGCCTCTTACTTTGCTACTCCTCAAAGAGATATGTTCCTACAAATTCAGTGACTATGTTATTGTGAGGATAGGTAAGAAAGGTACTTCGAAAATTGTTGGTGTTAGTCATGTCCAAGTTGAGACCAAACTTGGCTATAAGCTCATGCTCCAGGATGTGCAACATGCACCTCTTCTTCTCAAATATAAAGAAGGTTATATAAATGTATAGACTGTCGCGCTTAGGAAGATCACCAAATGATCCCTTACAGGCAAGGTGAAACAAGTGTTAAATCGTTTAAGATGCAAGTGCTGTTATGTAAATTCTAATGGAGTTGATATATCGACAAAGAGCATTCAGAAGGGAAATCAGATATTTCGCCAGAATGTGGCTGGCATGGATTCTAGTTGTTACTCATGGACATTGCCCATAGACACGAAAGGGGAGATTATTGAATTTGGATCCATATCCATGAGTGGACAGCACACTCTAGTCGAAGTAGAGCCTTATTATGCATAGAGAACTCGAATCAGGTTGCCAAGTCAAATCCTACTATTAAGTCACCAAACAAAGGGTGAAGCTTGAATTGAGAGCAAAAAAACCTCTTTCTCTTCGCTCGCTCCGACCCTAAGAAATCAAAATCCCATTCGCCTTCTTCCTATAGACTTTGCAGTAGATGAAATAGTCATCTTTCTTCCGAATGAATTCTTCTCAAATCTAAAGAAGAAGACTCCATATCTTGCTTTGCAGCCCCCTCAAAAAGAAGCGAACCCAGAATCCTGGAACTGAGCATGGTTGATCTTTCAGTCTCTGATCCACTTCCATGTGACCAGAGACCACTTTTAGCGGCTTGTGTCAAGAAATATAACACAAAATAGTTTAGCCCATTTGGTTTTGGGTAGGCAAGCAAGTCATATATGACTTTAAGCTGAAATGAAGAAGAGGTTTTTATAATTCATATCATCATCATTCAAGAATGGAGTCTTGACGGAGAGATAAGAGAAAGAGAGGAGAATTTAGGGTTTTTGGAGAAGTCATCTTAGTTGATTTGTTCAACATTCTACAGTGCATTAGAAATTGAATTATTATACTCTTGGTGGGAAGTGATTCTATAAATGACCAGTATGTTTGGAACCTGTAAGGTAACATATGTAGTTCTCATTCTTGTTTGATAAGTTCAGAGAACCACTGTACATTATTTCCTTTCTTCTAAAGCAACCCTTGTGTTTTCTCATTCTTGTTTGAGAAGTTTTGAGAACCACCGTGCATTGTTTCTTTTCTTGTTGATATAGTGGAATATATATTCTTCTTACTCATGGATGTAGGCTCAGGATATGGTCGAACTTACCTTTTTGTGTCTGATTGTGGTTAATGGCATGTTGTTTATTTTGAGTGTTCATTTATCAGACTCTCACACTGATGTCAGGTTTGGTTACTCTCTTCGGAACCCAATATGTTAAAACTTGAACATACCTAAAAACGTGTCGCCTGCCCACCAACTGAAACTTTAACAACATCTCTATATGAAAGGAAGTATCATAAGTTGTAACCATGTGCATCACACTTATGATCAATTTTTTGTATGCTCAAAGAAGGTAACCGAAAGTTTAATTAGTACAACACCTACTAATTTAATTCTAAGCTACCCGAATAAAACCAGGGTAGGTGAAGAGAAAGCGACTTAAATATAATGTTAATAGTAAAGAAATGTGATATGAAGGGTAGGCAACTGAGCTAGTGAAATGAAATTTATAGGACAGCGAAGGATGTAGACTATTCTTGTATACGTATGTATTTGTATGTATGTATGCATGCATATGAATCAAATTAATCAATTTAATCAAGGAGAACCTACACTTGTCTAGAAACTCATCTTCTATTTATCTTCTTTCCAATAAACTGTTGTTTCAATTTAAGTGTTCAGAATAACTTTTGCTCATTCCACATAAACTAACTCGTTCTCTCCTAGTCTATCTCTTTTGTTTATTTCTTCCCAACCCTCCTCTTTTTCTGTTTGGTGTGTGTTTGCTATTACCCCATTTCAATAGTTTCTGCAATTGCAATTTAAATAAGAAATACATCCACTGACATCAAAATATTGCCTTGAGTAATTTAAAAGTTATTGATCATTTAGGGTGTTCAGATCATCATTCCTATCCAACATTCTACAGTCTAGAACACACTTCCCAATTGGGGATCACAAAGGATGATTTTTTTATAACATGCCCCGCACACAGATCTTCTGACATTTCAAGAAATTAATGAGGTTTTGTTTTCAAGGGTTTTCTCAAGCCAAAAAGGCGAAGAACTCTAAATCCAGAACCTGTGAAACAGGAAGGACCTAGGACCTACAGTATTTCATATATGGTTCAACTCACTCAAAATGTTCATCACGCAGCCTAAGGAAATGTTTCATGAACTAGAGTCCCATTCAACAGAAACTCCAATAAGAACTTGGACAAGTCTAACAACTTCCCCACATTTTTCTGGGAATAATACACTTTAGACCGAAATTTGAAACTTCAATTTGTTAGCTTTGTAATTAGTCAAAGTTTACACAAAGGAGGATAGGAAGGAGGAATGGACCACACAAGCCTAATGTATCAGTCTGTTGAGACCTGGTCCAAACTTGGATCCCAAATAAGCCTACTAAAAACCAATTTTTGAATCCAAATCTGCAGAATATTGCTCACTGATAAAAATTAATGAAAGTTCTATGCATAGAAGCCCTAACAATTACAAAAGGTAGAGTTGAATCGCTAAAAATAAGCACAAATCTATAGTTTTAAACAACCAAAAGAAGAGATATAAGCTCAGCGTTTTAGAGCTGTATTCAGCATACAATAATAATGATATAACAAAAACGAGGATGTAAGGCTAAGTTATAAAATAAGATGCAAGCTAGAAACAGTCGAGCCTTTTGCATGTGGGTAATATTTTTTCTTATTATGAAATGGAAGTCTTTGCTGATATAGATCACTATATGAATTTTATCACCAAAAAGGTTTAATGAATATGAAAAATAGTTTAGAATCAGTGTTTTCTTAATTTATGTAAAAAAAATTGTTATGCAATTTTGCACCTAAACACGGGTTTGTTTAACACATGCTATAGGTAGACATGAAACATCATTTCCATATCTAATGTAAGAAGTGTGTACTTTGATGTGGAACTAAAAAATTGTCTATATTACAACTATGATACCCCGAGACAGCAATTTGGCGTCGTACCCGTGTCGGGTGCGGTTTGGGTACGTTTCCGCACCCAAACGGAGGGGACACGGGAGCAATTCATTTCCCACGTGTAAGAGGACTTTTGGACCTGTTACGTTTGAGGAAAATAGGTTTAGTTGAGATATGCAAGGAAGAAGAAGAATTTCTCTCTCTCTCTTATTTCCTTAGTTTTAAATTTGTTAGTGGAACATGACATCACCATTCACATGGGTGCTTGACTATTTGCTTTTGTCTTTTTTCTAAGGACGCGGCCTAAAATCACATGATTGAGCTACATTGTGGATGATCCGCTCCGTTGAACTTGATCCACATATTCTAAAACCCCAACACACCAAGTTTGGGGTAAACCCGTCGTCGTTTGACCATTCATCTACTCGTATCAATTTTAACAATTTCGAATGAATAGAACTTTTTGCATGGCTTGACGGAGGGTCAAACGACGATGGATTCACCCAAAATTTGATGTGTTGGGGTTTTAGAATATGTACATCAAGTTCAACGGAATGGATCATCCACAATGTAGCTCAATCATGTGATTTTAAACCGCGTCCTTAGATAATTATCTAAGGTGTCACCTTAGGAACACTTTTCCCATATATATATATATTCTTTTTTGATGCTTATGTGGAATATAAAGTCAAAGTTTCAAATGAATTTACTTTATAATTTTAAGGAATGAGCTTATTTTATTGAGAATTTAAAATTAAACATAGTAAAATTGTTAGTTAATATAATTGTTAATTTTTAATATATATATGTATATTATATACATATATATGTATATTATATACATACATATATATATATATATACAACAACAAAGCCTATGTCCCAAATTTTTGGGGTCCGCTACATGAAGCCTTTTCTTACAGTAAAAAGTTTTATTTTGGTTATCTCCTCCATAAATAAGTTAACTATTATCATAACAGAACGTCCTTCTTGGTTAAACGTTAGTTGCTTCCAAACAATCTCTTTTAGGTCTACCTCTAGATCTCTTATACAGAATTATTTTATTTTGGAAATTGGAATTAAAAAAAGAAGGGGTTTCTACAAAAGCCTTTTTAATGGACATCTACATCTTGTCCCTAAAGAACTGTTGAGTTACAAGCATCTTTGCATCTTTTTAGTCTGCATGGTACCCGAGTTTGGTAAGCTTACCTTTCTTCCTGTTGAGCTTAAACTAATCTAAAACTCAACCTCTATGAAGTAAACAAATCAATGCAGGTACACCAAACATTTAATATGAATATTTGGTCAAGGAGCATCTAGTTCCTTGCTTCTTTATTCTCCACAATCCCAAAAGGTTCTAATCAGCAGCCAATATAAGACAATCTATTTCAAACTCCCTAACCTGACCAAATTGCATCTGAAGTATGCGAATGAAGACAATGAAAACTATTGCTGCAAGAATTCTTTTTCATTCGGACCCGTCAAGGGCCTTGTCTACTTAAAAAAGACAATAAACACTCAGGATTAAAAGAGTAATTAAATATCACCTGTTTTTGTAACAATTACTTACAGTTTCGTTATTTGCATCTAAGCGACACATGCATATGACTCAGTCTAAGCCAGAATTTCACAAGCTAAAACCAGAGAAAGATTGGATAAGCATTCTAGAAGCATCTATAGGAAGAAATATTCACAAATGCTAACAATTCTAGAAGATCAAATTTAAAGAGGAATGTCACACATGATTAGACACAAATAACTTTACATCCTTTACTATTAAAAAGAAACAAATAGTCTGCATGTATCAGTTAGATCAAGAACTCCAAGATGTTTAAACCTTCAAACATAAATGTGAACTGCAGTGGGACAACTATAACTCATAAAATATGACCCTATTAACAATTTCATCCTCAAACCGTATGCTATGAACACAAACACAAAGTCTACAACGAAAGAGCTAGAATCAGCTTGCATTCATGAAGCTTAGCCTAACATTTGGAACCAAGTGATGAATCGATAGTAAATCATATCAATATTTATGCCCAAAACAAACACAAACTGTGAGCAAAAGGCTAATAAAGTGGTAATGCAGCATAAGCTTAATTGAAACCTAACCTGATGAATCCACTCTGATTAATGTCAGCAGCAAACAAATCCTCCACAGTCAAATCTCTCTGCAACACCCACTTTGCAATCTTTCGATGCCTCTTATCGATCCTCGCCTCTGCCAAGTAAAGAAAGGCCCTTGCAACTGCAAGCGTCGACACCAACAACCAAAATGAAGCAAATACTCTTCCTTCCAAAGTCTTGAATGCTCGATCCCCATACCCTACTGTTGTAACCGACATCACTGACAAATAAACGGAGTCCATCCAATCCAAGTGCTCAATGTGGTACAATGCCAATGTCCCTGCCCCAATACAAAGAATTACAACACCAACTGCTAGTGCAACCTGTTAAAGTTTTTAGTTAAAAGTTCAGATGTTGGTTTTCGTTGATGATAATTAATTTTGAAACATTTACTACTATTGGGTCATAAGAGCTCTAAGCAAGACAAAATTTTACCTAATAAGTTTTTGTGATTACAAAAGCTATATGAAGTTCATGGGTTACTATAGTACAGTAGGGTGTCTGAATGATTCCAATGTTTGCATGCCGTGAGATATAGAAAGGAAATGTATTCAGTTATGTAGTATCAAGCTCCCTTAAGCATTTTGCAACAAGATACATGAGCTTAAGCTCTTAAAAGAAAACTTGAACTCTTCCTAAAATTTTGGGCCACGCAGATAATTATATCCGGCCTTGATAACTTTCATCATCATAATTTGAAGAGATTTTTCACAAAATTTCTCATAACAAATCAACCAAAGAATATAGAAATTGGTGGCATTCACAATCCAAACATGACATAATAATTTAGTTGAAAGTTCAGATGCTGGCTTATGTTGATGGCACTTAATTTTGACACTTTTTAGTAGTTTAGGCCAGTAAAAGGTCTAAGCATGACATAATAATTTATGTAATAAGATTTGTAATTACAAAAGCTATTATCAAGTTTATGGGTTATTATAACTGGTTGCTTGAAAATTTTCAGTGTATCGCATGCCATGAGTCATGCAAAGGAAATTTACTCCATTTTTAGTATGATGAAGTACTAAGGATGACTAAATTCCCTACAAGTGTCTACAAATCTTACGAGTAAGCTTTTCTTATCCATGGTGAAATTTCCAAGAGAACTGTCACCATTTCGGATGATTGTGAAACTCGCTATCCAATTTCACTAACTTGGATAAGAATCTTGCACACCGGCACTAAAACCCGGTCATATCACTTCAAAGAACTCTAATTCACAAAATATTCAACAAGCACAAGCTCCCAAATCGCAAAACCGAAATCAAAAATCAAAATCAAACAATTTCAACCAAAAGCAACAATACCTTCATCCTTATCCTCATCCTCCCCTTCTCAGCATCAAAAATATAACTAA